TCAAAAAGTGATTTTTAATAACCATTTTGAAATCATTTTGATGGCATCATTTTTTCATTCTTTTGAGCTGATCTACTATCTAATAAATTTATCATGGGTAATATTTGAAAAAATTATTACTCGATCATGAGGATATTAATCGTGGCTTCGAATAACAGGACGGTGCTCGAGCACACAGTATACATACAAAGATGTATGATAAGACACGAGTCTTCATATTGGCCATTGTGTACTCTTTCCGGAGGTATTCGCGTCTCTATTAAACGTCGTCTTCGATCCTTTATTTGCAGTCGACTATCAACTCGTCGGTATATTCAAAGAAATTGATCTCCAGACATGACTACGCGATCTATCGTGGATGTATAAATTGTCTTGGAGCTATGGTATCTTTTTTTTCAATTACGGATATCTTGAGACCAACTCAAATCTTCCATCCAGCTAGAATTTTTCGCAACTCCGTCATTTACAGCATTAAATATCTCGCTGGCAACAAACTTCCAACTTAAAATCCGATTAAAATCAAATCACATGAAATTAAGTTAAGCACAAGACTTCGTTATACAATTCCGTCTCTGTAGTGATTTTGCGAATTAAAATTTTATTTTTCATCGCTTTTAATTTACAAGTTTTACATAATTAATGTAGCAACATCAAAACAATCGCCTATAATTATCGTCTTGGATTGTGGTATACATCCGTGGACAATAATTTCATCCTCTGGATCTAATAAAAGCAAGTTCTGAAAAATCTTATTCTGTTGTGCTACAAGAATCATGTGATAGTTAAATTTATATATTTGCTACGATATTCACATATGTATATATGACTTTCACATATACTTATAGTAGTACAAGATAGGCGCTTTCAGGATTTGTTTTAATAGATTATGGAAAGACGGTTTTGTTAAAATATCTAAAAATTTAAGCACTTAGATATAGATTTGAAAATAATGTTATTGGACTATTAAAATAATTATGTAGGAACGTTCAAATAGGTTGCTAAAATATTAAAATTTTCTGCAACATTGCTCATCATGAGATTTCTACATTATTATTTTAATGGTCCAATACAATTATTTTTGAATCTATATCTAACTAAATTTTTTGATACTTCAGCAAAATGTTTTTTGTAAGAAATAACGAATCATTGGGTACATGATAATCATAACGGTAGATCGACAATGTAATTTATACTATATAATCGAGGGTATGCTACTTTTCGCTTCACTATTTTATAAATAATTTAAAATTAAAATAAATCTTTAAACCAACGACAATAAACATAATATTGAAACATAATATTTCTTCATTTTGATTATCAAAGTAGTATCTATCTAGATTGAGAACTAGGGAGGTCCGCTTTCTCTCTTTTCCTCCGCACTCGCCAACGCGAAATGTGGAGTCGCGTTGGTCATACGCGCGCGACTTCTTATCACTGGCGCGTTCAATGCATAAAGCATAAAGTTCGTATCTCATGCATACATTCATAGAGCCGTCGGTGCGGCAATGGCGGGAGCGAGACGAAAGTCATAACTTACGGTGCGTCCCACGCCTCTCTATTCCCCCTATCGGTACACGTATCCCACCCCCATAACCACCGTCATCCCGCTCTCAGGAGTATCGAAACACCCGCAAAATCACCGGAGGGTGACTGAGGCACGTATGACGGCTGGTACTTCTCTCGAAGGTTCTCGGTGCGCTCAAAATTCCATTTTCCCACGGAAAAATTCCATTTTTCCATCGGGGCACCTCCTCACTCTTTCTCTCTCGCTCCCCCATTCTCGACCAATTCATTGAAAAATAGTCCACTTACCGCGGCCTCTTTTTGCGATAAATCAATCGCGCCTTTCCGAGTGTGCTCCATATAACCATCCCTTTCCGCTCTCCATCCTTTCCATCTTTCATTTTTCTTCGGCACAGCCCTCTTCCTCCGGGCACGCCTCGATGTATATAGGTTTGGATTGTCTTCCGAGATGACTGCTGACAAATAGCGAATCGATCCGTCACCGCCGCGCATCGCGCATCGGGCGTTACGCCATAAAGCTGCCGCAACAAAGCGTCGTTTTGATGCTTTATGGGCATCGCGTCGCATCGCCGACCGTTGGCGGGATGACGAATGGATGTGCGTGGTGGCTTGTATGTATTGGCCGCCTAAAGCTAAAGAGAGAGAGAGAGAGAGAGAGAGAGAGAGAGAGAGAGAGAGAGAGAGAGAGAGAGTGTGTGTGTGTGTGTGTGTGTGTGTGTTCGTTTAGTGGATGAACTGAAACGTCGAGCGCGCGTTGCGACAGCCGCGTTCCGTGTTCTGACGCTTATTCGTTCGCGTCGCGTTTTCATGCAAACTCGACACGGACAACGAATTTTACTCTTGTATGGGATGCACGATAGAATTTTGAAGGCCTTCTAAAAGTTGGATTCTCTCTCGTCAGCCCTTGGAACGTCATGCCCGTGTAAGCAACTAATACGCAGAGAATTTCTTGTTAATTTTAAAACGCTTACATTTAAGTAATTTCAGAAAAATTCTTTTACGATTTCCTGTAATATCTATAGTCAAGAGAATTAATACCTCCGTGACAAATGTAGACTGAAAATGCGAAACAATGTAAATGTTATTTTGTAAGATAATGCTACATTTTGTATTCTTTTCGTTGCTGTCTATATGTGTGAATTGTGATGTACAAAAGGATGATTTTGTTGAAGTATCTAAAAGTTAAGTTGGATACAGATCTAAAAATAATTTTGTTGTACCAAATAAAATAATGTAGGAAACTCAGACATGACGAACAATGCTGCAAAAAGTCGTTATATTCTAGCAATCAACTTGTGCGTTCTACATAATAATTATTTTGATAATCCAAATTGTTTTTAGATTTACATTTAACTAAATTTTTAAATACTAAAAATTTTTAATAATTTAGCAAAATCATTCTTTCTTTCTCTTATTTTAATTAATTTTATTATTTTGCAAATCGAGATAGTCGGGCAAAAAGTAAATGCTTCTCCAGCTGTTTTTTACGTATTTCGTTCTGCTTGCACTATTAGTGCATCCTAGAAATTGTAAATCTCGGAGGTGATGGTGGATCGCAGATTGATCTGCGTTGGAAGCAGGTGTGGCCAGTGCGGGATCGATGGCCTCGTCGACACTTTCTTTCATCGCGTGACATGCAAGGGAATAAAAATTCCTCATCCGCGGTTTTATCGACATCGTGGAATGAGTCGGCGGATGTTCCGTCGACGGAGGAAAAAGCGTGCTGCCGCAGGACGCAGAAGAATGATGCGTTATCTGACGCAAGAATTCCACAAAAGACACCCTCTTTTCCATTCTTTTATCACAAATCAATATTAAAAAATTTCGTATCACACATGCATATAGATAAACATGTACACATATTTATGATTTAATATTAGACAATTGAATTTTATTGTAATAATCATGATTTTCTCATTTCTGACTTACAATATATACAATATACATATATATATTAGA